CTCTGAGGCTGCGACCTGACTTGGGTTTGTAAATCCAAGTCCCCCCATCCGCACTGGCAATGCCAGGATATCTCGCTCGATCGGTGTGCAATTGTGTTCTGTAATTGATGGTATTAACACATCCGCTACAGCACGCTCTAGTGGTTCTAGTAGATCTTCAATATCTGGTAGTGTTCTGAGGTAGTATGTCCATCGATGTCTTAGACCAAAGGTGAACCCTACGTAGCAGGCTTGGGGTTGTGATTTAGCAAACTCTGCTAACCTTGTTATTTGACTTATCCAGYCTTCCACTTTTCCATTCACGTATTCTTCAAGATATGTTCTTGAACCAAGCACAGCCCCTAGATGTTGGTGTCCTTGCGTGGTGACGTTGATTGATGTTCCATCAAAGACATMTCTGGCGGTTTCTTCTTTCTCTGGTTTAATGATCAGCCAGCATTTCTTTGCATTAGGATAGTATCCTAAGTCTGGTCCAGCCTCATTCAATGCATCCCACCACTTTTTTAATTCCTCTAGAGACCCAGCTCCACTCGCATCATCAGCAAACCAACATTGCTGCGCAGAGCTAGAGATATTTAGATGCATGATCAACGGCTGAAGGCTGATTGCGTAGAGGCCCATGGCCAGAGGGTCACCTTGCGTGGTACCTTCTGCTGATTTCAATTCTCTTCCTCCCGTGATGAAAAGTCGCGCTGGTTCTCTGTATGTGTTTATTGCGTAGGTTGCTATGGTGGGACAGAGTACTCTGATATTGTGCAGAGCAGCAGCTCTATTCAAGGCATTGAACGCGTTCGAAGCGTCAATGAGCAATATAGCATCTGTATCATCAGCTTCGAATATATTATGCATTGCGTGAATCGCTGCTTCACTTCCGCATTTATGACCTGCGCAGACCTGGAGTGAACCACTGGCATCGATGACATCCTGTTTTAACACCTTCATCACGCACTTCCCGATTATTCTTCTGATCACTTCTCCGACACCAATCGGTCGAACTGCACCMCCACCTTTGTCTAATGGGATCARCCGACTTGCTAGTAATGGCTCAATAGTATGAGGGTCACTACACTCTGTACATAATCTCCTAGTCAAGGTAGCTAGGGCATCACACAGGTTTGTGCTTGATTTTTTGAATGACTTACAGGCAAGAATTCTCTTAAAGCCAAGGGCATCCACGCCCGAGGGGCCGCCTGATCCCTTGGTTCTCAAAGCAGCTTCTCTGATCATTTCTCCATTGATTTGTTGGTATATAGAGTCTGGGACATCTTCAATTGGTCCGAATAGTAGTGATCCTAACTTTGCTTCTTGTGGTTTTGGATGTTTTTCTTGAAGTTGCATCATAACATCATCTGTTAATGGTAACACACCCTTACAATCATCCTCGCTAAGGTAACGCAAAGCCGAGTTTATTTGACCTTCCATGATGAGTTTTGCAAAGATTTTTGCTTTGTTTGGTGTATCAGCTTTCTGAAACTTTATAAGGCGACGTTGGATCATTTGTCCTTCTCGTACAAGCTTGTCTATTTCTTCCTCCTTCCACAAAGCCAACCGCTTCATTAAACATTCTTTGTGCTCTTTTGCTTTAGATTTCTGACTTGGTTTTTGTAGCCCTACCGCTAGAAGAACAAAGCCTGCCTTTAGAGCTATATGTTGCTTATCTGACCCATTGTTCCAGTCATTTATATGCATTGTTAGTTGATCGATGAAATCTTTTCCTACTTTACCGTATGGAACAAGGAAGGTATTTTCCCGCCATTTTGTGATT